GTGATAAGCAGGGGTCTCCTCACCAGGACTGGCAGCCCCCTTATATAGATTTGGCAAAAGGCGGGAGTCCTTTGTTGCAGCTTGACCCCCTCCCAGTTCCTTATGGAAAAGTCCACGGTTTAAAATGGATTCCAGTATCAGGTGACATGGTCCCATGCTTCTGTAAGACCCCAGTCTCCATTTTTCATGGGCTGATCCTTACCTACACAGGAAGACTTACAGGTAAACAAAACCATTCTCAGCCCATTGTTTTGGATAAATGCAGTAATCAAGTATCATTAATGACCCACATTTAGCATAATTACAATGGGACCTTAGATTTGTACTTCATATTCCTAACTGTAAATATAAGAATGACACATACATACAAATAGGAAAACCATATTCAGTAGATTACAACTTTTCCAATGATCCCTTACATGGGACCTTTTGCATAAAGCATGTTCCAGTTATGTCATGTTCATATGGATAAGCATATTTTCAGAAAGCATATGGAGCATCCCGTAACACCCTGATCTGGTCTGATTTCACCCCTGCGCAGGATTTCCCATTCCCAAACCTGAACTGATCGCCCGGCTGGAACGAGGGGAAGAGCCGTGGGTGCCTGATCTCCAGGCCTGCGAAGAAAGGGAGATCCCGAGAGGCGACCGCACAGGTGAGGGCTGACACAGAAACCATCTGGGGAATGAAGGAAAAAGTTCAGAATCCCAAAAATATGGTGTGAGTAATGCCCTCAGTTCTTCCTCCTCTCACGCAAGGGAAGACTGTAGTCAGCAGATATCACTCATGCCTTTCCACCCACCCTGTTAGCTGCAGGAGTTTCCTTTCCAGGTTTCCTTCCCTGTGAGTGTTTGGGTGGGATGTGGAGGCGGAGTCCCGTTGCTCAGTCTTTGTGTTAGGTTTTCCCTTTGTGCTATTCCTCTTTCTCCCCAGCACAATGACTCCTGTCTGGATTGTCTCTCTCCCAGCAGGTGATGAGAGAGTGAGTGAGAATGAAGAGGAGAATCATGATGCAGAAGTTCCTGGTAAAGTGGAACCACGGGAGACCTTTATGGGAAGTGCTGCATGGAATTTTTCCCAGTGCTTGGAACAGGGAGAAACCTGGGAAAATTGGCAGAGGTCAGAGAGGCTGCTGGGAAACCACCCAGGGAAGAAAGTCTATGAATCTACTAACTCGGGGAGAGGAGACAAGGATCCCAGAGCACAGCAGACAAACCCCAAGGAAGAGACACCCAGGGACTGCCTGCAGTGTGGGAAAAGATTCATTCTGAGCTCACAGCTTGTAACACATCAGACAATCCATACAGGAGAGAAACCCCTTCAATGCTCGGACCATGGGGAAAGCTTCAATAATCCCTTGGACCTTAATAACCATGGGAGACGCCACACAGAAGAGAAACCCTCTCGATGCCTCCAGTGTGGGAAATGTTTCATTTCGAAGTCAGAAATAATTACATATCATATAAGCCATACAGGAGA